TTCATATTACTAGAATACTTTGGTATCGAAGGAACTAGATTCTGTTCCGAAATATCACTTACTCGAACCGTCCTGACCGCGTAGCTCAGTTGGAAGAGCATTGGGCTAGTATTCCAAAGGTCGTAGGTTCGAATCCCACCGTGGCCGGGCATATTTTTCAAGCTCGCCCGGTGTGGATATACACTCAGAGTAACACCACAAATAACATCAAGGACTATTTAGATATAAGCGACTACCCTTTGGCATCAATGCAGCAAGTGAAGTTTTTCAAAATGCAATTGAAAGAGCCATCCAAGGACTAGATAGTATTAAAAACATTGCAGATTACATCATTGTCTGGGGCAATACCATAGATATCTTATATACACTAGATAGCGCATCTCTTTTAGTAAAATTGAAGCCAAGAATATTCCAGCAGTTACCCCCATTTGAATAGATAGCGGCCATGTTGGTCGTTCCCACTTGCTAATAATGCTTAAAAACAACAACTTTCATCATTTGAATGGTTTAAAAACGTATTTGGAATAGGGTTAACTTAATGTTTAAGTTCCCTGTTTAAGAAATAGAAAACATACGAATATTCTCATTTCATGGGAACGACCTGAGACTGCAATCACGGCTTCAATTTTTGAACTTGCAGAATAATTAGATGCACTATCTAGTGTATATAAGATATCTATGGGCAATACACAACAACAACACGATCAGAGGGTAGGACAATTATTTGCAAGGCTTCAAGAGAAACACCTTACTGTCAACCCTGAAAATGCCTGTTCAACCAGACAGAACTTTGGTTTTATGGATTGCATTTGACATCAAATGGTATCAAAGCTGATCCGAGTAAGGTCGATGCTATGAAGAATTGAGAAGTTTAATGATTATTCTTTCCTTAGTTGTAAATATAGCTTTTGTTTGTAATAAAACGAGTATTGTTTAGGAATTTTTGTCTGATATGTGTTGAAACAGTCTCAAATTGTGATCGTTGAGCGTATATAAACACAAAATTAACTCTCTTATGACATGAGTCATGACATTTTTTACAAATTGAAAGGCCCAAAGGGAATAAAAATACCAAGTTTAATTAAACGTACATGCAGATATTTATACTAAAAAACTGCCACCATTGCAATAATACGTATATGGTTGTGTTGAGACTTGAGCTAGAACTAACTGAAGCATGCCTCCGAGACGAGTTGGCGAAGTAGAAAGGGCGTTAATACATGACCAATATAGACGAAATGGCCCAGTTTGGGATATTGTCATAAACGACATCGCGCAAGATGAACGTTTCATGAATGTACCAGACAACGTGCAGGAGTTGTGGCATTAGTTTTAAAGTATTACTTTAGTGGAATATTAGAAAGGGTGAATGAGATGCAGTATGCCGACCGCCAAAATGCATTTCAACGAGAAGCTGCTAATTTGGCAATTCGTCAAAGAATTGAAGGGGCTCAAGATGAAAATATAGCTGGCAATAACGGTGAAGTCGATGAAGTCCCTATCCCTCCAGTGCAAAACAATGTCAATGGGAATGTTGTGTTTCTGCTGGAACAGGAACAGGCCGAACAGGAACAGGAACCTGAACCCGACGGAAATGAGGATGAACAAGTTCCTCCAGCACAGGATCCTCCTCAAGCAATGCCCATACCCATTCCTGGAAATGGTGAAGAAAGGCATCCATATCATGCGCTAGCTCGTGAAAATGCTGAGGCTTTAAATGCGCTTTTAAATCGAGAAATTCCGGTTATGACACAGCAACTGCAACAGACAATGGAACTTATGAATCAACTGATCAGGCGCAGTTGGATAATTGAAATACATTGATTTAAAATATATGAAAACAGTGAATTTTTGTTTCGTTCTATTAAACATATATTAGTTTTGTGTAAGCTGTTCAATGGGCAAAGTGCTGTGTATTATATAAGAATAAAATGTTGTTTGTGAAACGGTATAAAATATTATTTTTATATATATATATATATATATGCATTTCATAACATAAAATTTATGGACGTTAATTTATACATTCTTGGATGTATTATAACTGATAGTTAACAAACGGCAACTTTAAAAGTTAAAGACTTAAAGTATATGACACAAGAAATATATATCTATACATACAGTATATATAATATACAAGTTAAAGGACTTGCGAAAGTTCAATGTGCCTTTCAGCCAAAAATGCACAAAGTTCACTCACCACGGGGAACATCCATCTTTCATGATGCCACAGGTGATCAACAGCTCCGTACTCTTTAACTCTCCTGATGCAATGTTCCACGCAAGTTCTAACTTTTGTCAACTCTCGGTTGAACAATTGTCTTGTGAGGTCACCAGCTACATTTCTCCAATAAGTAACAAGGGGGTAAATACTGGGATATCCTTTATCCGCTAAAATATATAGACCCGGGGGTAGATGGAGTTCTTCATCAGTTCCTATGTTAGCCATTAATTGAAACTGCCCGCTATCGTTGTTATGCCCCAAGAATCCCGACTGAATGAATACGATATTGCCGTGGTTATCCATTATTATTTGGGTTGAAAAGTTGTGATATCTGCAATGGCCACTGTAAAATAACTGCCAAGGTTCAGTCTGCGGTCTTTGTATCCTATGTCGAGTTCCATCAATGACAGTCACTGCGCCTGGAAACATATTCCAATGATTAGCCATTTCCAGCCATTGCTCTGCAGTTGGCCACTTTACTTGCTGTTTGAAATAGATCCAAAGCACAGGAAGCAGAAACCGAATTTCTCTTTCAACCGTTGTTGGACTGATCATGAATAACCCACTAAGCATTACAACTTCTGGGTACATTCTAAGCCAAATGAACATCAGTAGTATTCTGTTCCGAATATCAAGGGTAAAGGGGTTGTCGCGAACCCTTAACCGCCCGTGTCGGGTGTACATGGTGATATAAGGCATAGCATCTCGTACAACCTGGTTGAAGGATTCCACACTTTCGCCGGTCAAATTCCAAAATAGATGTTCGCATCTTACCAGTTTATTGTAAAAGTCTCTTCCCTGGAAATAAGATCCAATAAAATCGGGATACAGAATTCGCTCGACGCGAGCTCTTGGTATATTGGATTGGCCGCATGTTGCTGTTAAGGCAATCAGGTCGTAGAACGCACGAAAAAGCTGCCCAACGGTGGCAAGTAAAGAGTTTAAAGTGTTGTTTCTGTCAATAATATTGCTTGACTCTTCCATTGATGCGTGAATTATTGGCAAATATATCACGAGAAAAGCATTCAAGACATTATTTAGCTGCATAAAACTGATATTCATGACCTCCATTTTGTTGTCCATAGCTTTTTGAGTATAATACTATATAAAGTGGTGTGACACAAGCTGATGCCTACTGGGAATACTCGAAATTTATAGCAGCTGGCTTGTTAATTTATAAAATATTTTCTAAACTCAAGTAAGGACATGCATAAATTTAACTGATTGAACTATTTCCCAACAGGTTTTAACAATGCCTATAAACTGTGAGTTGTTTGTGCATTTCTCCCAAAAGGTTTATTATATAATTAGTTATTTCAAACGATGAACCGAATATTCACATGATGCAGCATGCATATTAGTGTTCTTGCCAATGCAGGGGAAACTAAAGTTTACTTGAATATTTTAAATAATATGGAATAGTATTTTGAATCGTAAATTAATATATTTGGCATAGATTAATTTACAGAGCTGAACTTATACAAGTTATATATGCAAGTTTCAAACGTTGGAACACGAGAAATGCGACGATTGCATTAGGCCTGATTTGCATTAAGTTATTATGGAATTTTCACAGGCTGTCGCATAGACATATGCTGAAATGCACAAGTGGTCTCTTGCTAACTTGTTTAGAGCTTATCGTTTGTGTTCCGCACTGCAGGTAGGCTGTATGTTGTATCTACTGCTGTAAACACTACTAAACAGCAATAACCAATGTAGGCCTACAGTATGTGATTTATTGCTGTATTGATTGTGTTACTCCCTGATCTTGGCTCTGCTGCCGTCACGGTCAATATGACTTGATATATTTAATACTATAAACAACAAACGAAAGTTTACGAGTATTATAATGAGTTCATCTCATAGCCAATAGAACAAGTATATCATAGTAATAAGTACGACTCTGCCTTTCAGTTAATGAGGCTATTTGTTCGTTCTCGTGCTACGTTGCAGGTTAACTAATAGACTTTTTAGTATTTTCCCATTCATAGCCTACGCAGGCCTACATTTGGGCATTTTTTGAGGATTCTCAATATTTTTTATTTTGACCTCCTCCAGTCGATTCCTTCTGCTCTTAAAGCATAATTATGATGGGGTTTAGTCATGCTTTCTAATAGTTGAAAGCTGATATATCATAAATGAATAATTATTATTAATCAAGTATAATGGTTATTTAATGTTGCCTCTGGATGTCAGCAGGTGTCCTGTGTTCATCTGGGAGTACAACTTGTACCATGCAAGGGTTGAATGGGACTTATAATTATCTAAACCCAGACAAGAATACCCTGAGAAAACCAAAGGTGCCACAAATCCAAAGCTCTTTTCATTATAGCAACTTGAGCATTAATCATTCTGTAACAAAAATTACAACAATTAAGTTCTTTAACAACATATATATTTTATAGCTCAATGAATGACAATAGATATGAAGAGGTTTCTATGGTGCAAGAATGAAAATTTGTCTGCTCTGCTGATGTGTTTCTTGCAGTTCTTCAAGCTAGATGCCAGACACCTGGGTGCACTGCCACTTACCAGATATTAGAGACTAATAGAGACTAATCAACCACCATATTCCTACTTCAAAAGATGGAGTAAACACATTAGCTTCCGAAATGGAAGAGATAATTCTACATGCTGCAAGGAAATCTTTAAAAATTAAAAAGACAAAATTTAGAAATAAAATTAACAATGTCTGTAACAAGAAATGGTTTGACAAAGAATGTCGACTAACAAGACATTCAGTTAGAAAACTGGCAAATCAAAAACACTGCAACCCGCTCAATGTTGAAATAAGAAACGAATACCATATTGCCCTTAAGATTTACAAAAACACGCTAAATCGTAAGAAAGAAATCTTTCATAAAAAGAAATTAGAAGAACTAGAAACAATTTCTGAAAATGAACCAAACTCCTTCTGGAAATTACTTAAGAATATGAGTGATGAGCTTGAAGACCTTTCTACATGTGAGCCTGATGTTACTGCTAACAGCTGGCTCACTCATTTTGAATCTCTGCATGCGAAACATACGATGCTAGGCACTGAACAACAACACACACTAAATCAATTAGAAAAACTAGAAGAGGAGATTGCAAACAAATTTCTCGATGAAGCTATCTCAGAAAACGAAATCATTAATGCTGCAAGGAAATTAAAAAACAACAAATCCGCTTATTCTGATAAGAAATGAAATGCTTAAATCCAGTGCGAGAATACTGCTCAAAGGATACCAAAAACTCTTTAACCTAATTCTAGAAAGTGGAAAATTTCCAGACCAATGGTGAAAAGGACTGATCACGCCAATTTTTAAGTCTGGTGAAAAAAGTAACCCCAATAACTACAGAGGGATTTGCGTGACAAGCTGTCTGAGCAAGTTCCTCTGTATCGTTCTAAATGAACGATTAAGTCAATTTAGTCTTGAACAAAACTTAATACATCCATCGCAAATTGGGTTTCAATCAGGTCATAGAACTGCGGACTATATTTTTACTTTGAAAACATTAATTGTCAAACATATTAAACAGAACAAAAATGACAAAATCTATGCATGTTTCGTAGATTTCAAAAAAGCTTTTGACTCGGTTTGGCACGAAGGTTTATTTTTTAAATTACTAGAAAACAAAATTGATGGTCAATTTTATAATCTTATTAAAAGTCTTTACTCAAATTCAAAATGCGCTGTTAAACAAAGCAAAACAAGAACTGATTTTTTCAACTACTCCAAAGGTGTACGACAGGGATGTATACTGAGTCCTCTTCTTTTCAACATTTATATAAACGAGTTAGCTACTTTGTTTGACAACACAAGCTCTGATCCATTTATACTTCCAAATGGAACAAAACTGAGCTGTCTTTTATATGCTGATGACCTAATCATACTATCTAGATCAAGGTTCGGTCTCCAGAAATGTCTGGATGACCTCCACAGCTGGAGTAATAAATGGCTTATGGAGGTGAATTTAAAGAAAACACAAGTTATGATATTTGAGAAAACAAATTCTAAAAAAGCGAAACCAATTTTTAATCTTGGAAAGAAAGATATAACTGTTGGAAAAGAATACTGTTATTTAGGCATTAAGATGAATAACAATGGAATTTCACTTTAGCTCTTAAACAGTTGAGCGAAAAAGCCCTCCACGCACTATACAGTATGAGAAGACGACTCAATATACACCATCTTAACCCAAAATCTGCTATTAAAATTTTCGATCGAATTATAAGCCCCATCCTTCTTTACAACTCTGAAGTATGGGGTGAGTAGTATTACCCCCCCGTATAGCGGCGGAAGTAATTAGTATGCAGGAACGAGTAGAGCACCGGAAGTGCCGTATAGCGGCGGAAGTAATTAGTATGCAGGAGCGTTTGTAAAACATGCGGTATATTTGAATCGGTGAGTAGTACAAGCTCATTTACACATTGGTTTGGATAATGAACGGTTCAAACAAGAAGCTTCGTCTGATAGAAATAATATATGCCAAGATCATTGCACATAGCATTGAAAAGAAATTTGGCCTGTTTTGTTGCGGGTGTAAGGTTCGTGACCAGGACTGTTTAATGTTGAAT